AATAAAAAAAACAAGACTAACAACAAATTAAATTAAGGTTTGAAAGAGATATTGTCACAATTAATGAAGATGAGGTAGCTAGGTTCCAACTCCGTTTGAGAAGAAGCATTTCACCGTTGGAACGGGTCCAGAAGTGGGCACACAGTAGACACAAGGGATGTTGTTAGGCATAAGTGAAGTCATTCTCAACAGGGAACACAAGCCCCTAAAACCCAAACGGGGTTTCACAATCTATGTCCCCCTCTACTATATATATCTCCCCACTAGCTAGCTAAGTTTGAGCCAATTATGAATATAAATAATGTGATCGATGCAAAAAAAGCCAGCCAGCATCATGATATGATATGATATACTCACATGCAAGTAGCCAAATTAAAGGTACTTTTTTGGGCCTTCTGATTTTTGTCCAATACAATTAAGATGTGTCCCAATGACATGGAGTCTGGGCTTGCATTTATTAATAAGTACCCATCGCTGGCTGCTGCTATTACATTACACACCTGCATTAGTGCGCAACTCCTCTTCTCAGCTGGTTTGATTGTTACTGCTCATGCCTTCATTATATTCTCTTCTTCGTCGTTTTTCACTTTAATATTTTCATACAATACGTCACACTATATTACAAACTACTATATACCAACAAGTAAGAGATTATATTGTATTAAATCAGCTCCTATCTACTTTTGACTATACATCTTTTGATAATAATACACGTACTACACCCTGCTTGACAATGATTTTTGGTGCGTGCATCAGAAACAACTTATCTATCTCCAAGGTATAAGGCATGAGCGGAGGTACCCTAGGGTATCCGATTCGAACTCCCTTCGTTGAAAAATTACTTAATGTATATATATTTTAGATATTGAAACATGCTTTGACTTACTCGTATGTTTACTTTTTTATATTTGGAATCTTCTTAGTGAAAATCCTGCTTTCATCACTGAAGGTCTGTGTCGATTCTATCTTCTCCTCAAACCCCATTTTATAGGATTACACCTAATATGTTATTGGTGCCTATCTTTGAGAACCATGTAGGTACTTTTTCCTACTTTGAGAACTCTATTATACCCGGTCTGGACTTACTCATATGTTTATTTTTTTATATTTTCAATCTTCTTAATGAGAATTTAATTGCTTTTATCACTGAAGGTCTATGCATATTCTATACTTTCTTCGAACCTCATTTTATAGGATTACACTAGATGTGTAATTGTTGCCGGTATCTTTGAGAACCATGTATGCACTTATTCCTACTTTGAGAACTCGTGAATATTTATATGAATAATTTTTTAAGATATACACAAAATTCAAATTGAAAATCATCCGTATATTTACTCTACTTCCGTCACTAGGCCATCTGTAGATGCAGCTCATCTGAACCAAATACTTAAAAATGAGGTTTGAACTCATAATTTCAGAAATAGAATGGGCTAGTGTTAAAAGGTTAAACCAATAAAACTTAAATAATGAATTTGTCTCTCCTATTTATCTATATTTAGAAGTGTTAAATGGATGAATTAAATTAAATTAAATTTGAATGGGTCAAAAAATTGATTGAGTTAATATATGGATGGTCATATAACCTGCCCAAAAAATATTTGAGTCCGGATTAACTAATGAGTCATATTACTCATCCAACTCTTACCAACTTATTTAATAACACTACCAAACAACATTAATTATTTTTTCTTTATTATTTATGGCTTTATAAATGTTAAACGAATTTTTTTTTATTCTTTTTGTCAATATCTCAAAAATCTATTTAGGCTACATATTTAGCTAAAATCAACTCAATTTTTAGATGTAAAAATTTAGCAAGTCAAAATGAGTTGACCTCTTAATAAATGGATAAATTATATAAGGTAATTTTATCACCCTACCAAGACATGAGGATGGGAAGCTAGGAAGATTTTTCCTTCTATTCGCGCATATTAATATATAAATATAAATATATACATACATTGAATCATTGACAATTTAACGATAAAAGAAAAATGTAATTTGACTGGTTATAGCATAATCTTACTCTATTTTACAAAATCATCATGCCAATTAAGCTTATTATGAAGAGTTACCTAATTTGCTCATCAAAGATTGTGTATAGTAGTATTAACTATAAATTCAATTTATTTACTCACTCTAGATGATTTAAACTACTCACTTCTTATAACATGTGAGAGGAAGTATATAATATATTGGCGGCTTAATTAATTGATTTTATATACAAATATAATCATCGTGACACGTATGCATAAAGATTAGGTAAGGTTCCTTTGGATTTTTATTTATATACTAATAAATAAATAAGAGTGTTTGAAAGAGGATATAAAATTAATAAACATAACTAACTCTTTTTGGTTTTCCACTTGGTGTTTTATTGGAGCCTGATTAAATTTGGATTCTCGCAGGAAAGTGTCATATTGGGGGCGCTCCCTAACAAAGGCGACTATGTATCTAGAGGGACTCAAACTCAAGAGATAAGGATGAATGAGTACTTATCACTCCACCATAACTCTTTTTGGTAACGGAACAACTCTACATCTACATACAATGTATACAAAAGTACGTATAGAGCCAAAGGCAGCAGAGAGAAACATCATGTTTGGAAAACACTGAAGTTACGTTAATTGTTCCTTCTTTTAATTTGGACAGACACGTTATCCAGTCTGTTGACAGGTTGGGGGTCCGTTTTGGAATCGTTTTGCAACGTTCAATTAAAAAGCCCCGCACCCTTCCACATTTAAATTTCAAATCAGATGCATGCAGGATGTTCCATCGTACCCCATGTGTAATCCTCCACGTGGAGGTCATAGTCGAGGAAATCAGATTTCTTGTCCACTTATAATTTAAATACAAGAAAAGTATATGTATAACTGAAGATCTCTCGTAAAAAGAAAGTTTATAAAGAGTTACAAAATCAAATTTCTTGTCAAATCCACATGTTTGGTATGGAGGAAATCACTCTGATCAAAACTTCCCAACACGCTCTTCTTGTTGGGTGTGTTTGGTAAGGAGAAAAAAATATTTTAATTTTCATGTTCACTTAGTCAAAATGTTTTGAAAAATTATTTTCGTAAAATGAGGAAAATTACTTCTTCTATAAAAGTTGGAAAACAAATTCAATATGTGATATTCCAAATTCATTATTTCTTATTTCTTGATCCCCCATCAACCCAATGCTCCCAACCCTTAGCATTCCAAAAATAAAAAAAATGACATATTTTAATATTTAAGAAGCTAAATAACCAAACAAATATTATGACATGTTTGATATTACAAATTTTAAAAATCTTATAATTCATTTTTATTTTTATTTTAAAAAGAAGGTTTTTTCTTAAATTTCATTCCCGAGTCAAATAAGGTGGAACGGAATAATATATTAAGTATCTTGTTTACCGAAAACAAAACATATTGTTTTTGCTTCCTACTAAACAAGAATAATTACATAGTATGTGGCCATGTGGGTATATTTCATTTTCATTGACTTGCTAATCTTTTTATTTTGCATGCTCGCAGTGACTCGAATTTCATGTTATTCCATAGACTTTAGTTTAGGAGGAAGACCTTTTGCACATCTTGTCTGTTGGACGGCTAAAAGTTTTCGATTTATGTACGTGTGATGAAAATTCTGACGAAGTCAAACCGAGCAATTTGATCTTTTAGCAGTTAAAAATGAGAACTGAGAACATATATATTAAAGGATGTACAAATAACAAGTGTATTACATTCATTAATTTGGTATAAATATCTCGCGCTAGTAAAATTTTATGGTCATGGTAATAGTTACTGGCCCCTTATGGCCTAATGGTGAAAATGTTCGTCATTTTGCTTTCGAAGGTGTTGAATTTTGATTAGCATTATGATAAGAAAAAAGTTAGTACTCCACTTACAATGTCATCCCGCTTCATTATAGGTTGACAGGAGGTGTAAAATTAGTTCAAGAAAATATGATTCACTTGATTAGTTGAAATTTGGACGGGCTAATACTCGCCTATTTATTTGCTTAGTTCTTTTTGACCTGTAAAATTTAGGTCATATATATGTTGGACTGATCTGAGCTGAACATGTAGTTTAAGTTGACTAAAATGAAATCTTGTCAAAACATTTATCATATAATATCTTTTTTGTTTGATATGTTATCTTTAGTTATAATAGATAATTTTTTGGTAATTAAATTAAAAAATAAAATTAGGTAAGAGTTGAGCTATAACCCATTATTTAGTGCATTTTTATCTATCTTATCTCAATCAATCCAAGTAACTTTTGGACGGATTAATGATCTTTTCAAATTCAAGTGTCCTACGTGATCATCAGTCCCAAGTATAATAATCATAGTTGATGAAAGAACGGTGTACCACATAGTAGATAAATACAATGACAGAGGCAGAAGCCGGTTGTGGTTTGGACAGTGTCCAAACTGTGTATTTGTATCGAAAACTCTATTAAATATGTATGTATATTAAATTTAGTTACTAGTTATTATATTTCGATATCATCATTCTAAAATTCAAAATCATAAAATTGAAGTTTTTACTCCACCTCTAAACTTAAAAGGACATTATTATTTAGTAGAGTTGCACAAGAAACTAACAATACCGTCACTAAATCTTTATACATCATTTCTTGGCATTGTAAAGCGTTTAGCTATATCTACAAAGGCATAATTCAAAGAGTCATGAATGAAGGATATATAATATTAACGCATTTCCTATCTTTCACTGACAAATACATATCATGATAATTTACCGTCTTACATGGTATAAGTTGATTTCTCAGATGAAAAAAATCGAAATCAAATAGTAATAACTATTACTTGAGCAACCATATAAAAAATCAACTCTGCATTATATCCATTGAGAACCAAAGGGAACAAAAAAAAAATGATTCATTTCTAATCCCAAAACATCCTTAACATTCCACTTTGCACTAAGTACTAACACAAGAGATACAAATTAAGTAGAGTAATATAACAAAAGAGAAGATATATAATAATAATATAGTACTACTAGTTATAGTAAGTTTTATTTTCCTTTGCCCTTCCAAATACTTTTCTTTACCTTTTCACTACTGGATGGAACCTTTGCTGAAAAAACAGAGTACCCTCCTTTGTCTTGATTCTTCCCACTACCTTTCTTCATGCTGGCTTTGTTGTTAGAACCACTTTTTCCATTACCTTTTTCCTTTGGAATAATTGTACTCTTATTCGCATTTCTAACAACATGATGACTTGGTCCTGAAGATGCATCAGACGCCATCGAATCATCAGTATCATCATCATCATTAATTATCTTCTTGCGACGACCTTGTCCTAAAACACCATCTTCATTATCAAAATCACCTTCGCAATTCATCTCATCATCTTCATCATTCGTAGGTGAGCCAATGTACATTGTCCATCCAGATTCACTACTGTGACATTCTTCCCCCTCATTAAAAATATGAGACTTAGGGTCCATAATTATTTTTTTTTTAAAAAAACAGAGTATCTTAGAAAGAAGTAAAAAGACCAGAACTAAAAAGTAGAGTTTATTGGTACATGTTAAAAAGGCAAAAGAAAGCTGAATCAAAACACCTGTATAGAACAAACATGCCCCAATCTTATACTACTTCTGAAAGCAACCCTCGAAAAATTATTTATTTTTGAATTTAATTAAATTTTCACCACCACTTGGATATATATGTACATGTACAACTACATCGCCATTATTTACATGTACAGAGGGACAGGTAGAAGGTGTCAAAGATGATAGAGAAAACACTTGTTTTTTTTTACAATAACAAAAGGCACAAAAAAACGACCTATCGAGTAAATATAAGGACAGAAAATTGGGCTAATTACTTAGGTTGTAAAAAAAATTTTAAAAAAATGGTACATATATATCTTTACTTCTCTGAATTCTGAACGTGGACTCATTTAATAAGAAGCTCTGCTTTGAATGCAGAATGCAGGGGAGAGTGCAAGCCTATATGCTACTCTGAAGAAAATATATATACTAAACTTTTTATTTTATTTTATTGTTGTTAATGTAAGAAAAAAGGACCTCTCTCTGAGTGTCAATACTTATTTCTATGTCATGTCAAATAAAAACAAGAGGTTGGGAGTAAATAAATTATGCAGCTTTTTCATCTGCTAGAAAAAAAATTTTGAAAGTAGGCCAACTGGAGTTGTCTTGTAGTAAGTTCTGTGACTTTACAAGGAGACATAGCTTTTATTTTATATTTTTACTAATGTTTTTTTCTTGCTAGTACATACAAGTATACTATATGATCCATTTGTAATTTCACAACTTTTTGCTCTATTTTTGTTTAATTCTGATATTCAAAAATTATTGATGAACTAATTCAGATTCGTGCTTCTTACCATGTTTTTTTTTCCTTCTATTTTCAAGATTTTAATCTGAGGTCTCTAGTCAATGACGGAGGAATTACATCCATTTTACCGCACCCCTTGGTGGTACAATCTTTCACTCATGATTAGTAATTGTGCAACTTAAATCTTTTACTTTCTATTTTGTTATACAGGTACTATATATACTACTCTCTCGGTCACATTTTGAATTTTGAGAGTCAAACTATGTAGTTTGATTGTAAATTCTGCTATGAAATTCTTTAAGTTTTTAGAAACAAAAAAAAAATGAAAATTACGATTAAATAAAATTATGGATTCTTGACAATTCAAATTTAAGTGACATATGAAAAAGCTATAGTCAAAGAAAAATTCGTTTGAATTTCAAAATTTGAAAGGTGCCACATAAATTGGGGAAAAAATAATATTTTCTTTGTTAGTTCATTTTGAAAAGAATGATACATTTCTACGGTTGGGAATATCTTAAGTATAAATTTTCCAATTTGCCTTTAATGAGAAATGCTTTATCGTCACACAAATATTATGATATATTTAAAATCACGAGTTTCATTTTTTCACATAAAATTCTACTGAGTCAAATTATGTCACATTAATTGAAAAGGGGTGTAATAACTTATGGTTCTTTCCTTGTTAGTACTGTCATTTTCAAATGGTGATCTGGAATGTGGTTAGATCTAGAATTTAGGATAGTATTAATTATGAAAGTATTTGTAAGCATTCATGTTAGTTTCTATAAGCTTATTAAAGCAAAAGAAGTCTTTTTTTTTTTTCCAAGGGAAGGTGCAAATAAGAGTATTAATTAACCAGTTGAGGATATATTGAAATGGGGCATGTCTTGCCTCTTAATGACTTTTTAGTTGTTTCTCACATTGTAATCCTAAGGCATGGCTTATTATAAGGAAATGCTAGACAGGCAAGGCCCATCTATTATTCTTGCTGTTTGTCCTTTTGAGAGATCATATCTTGTATTGCATATGTCTTGGGCTCCATGTGATGTTCTTTTCCAAATTCTTTTTGACAATAGGACAAATATCCCAAGGCTGGAAAGATCCAATCTAATTAAACACTAGTTCCCTCCCTCTTCCTTCTTTTTGCCTTTATATTCACGGCAGAGTCAGAATTTTCACTAAGAGATCAATATACACAAAAAAAAGTTAAGGAGATTTCACATTTGTTATTTATATAAAAAAATATAGAGCGTGTAATTTTTTTGCGAAAAAGATTTGGATGACCCCTTGTGAATTGTGCCTCTAGCTAGGCTTATAGGTGTAGAGTGCCAGAGTATAATTTTTGAGCAATAAGATAATGCTTTGTATGTATTCAAGTCAAACATAGATATGACAAATCTTTGTCGTTCACACTAGAAAGGTTTTTAATTCGTTTAACACATATAAAATTCCTTAATTCACTCTTTTTTTCATGTTGTTATCCTAATTATTGTACTTTATTTACTGTCCTGGTTTTAGGTTCGACCACCCTGAAAAGTGTTTCAACAACACCTTCCTGCTAGTTTCTTGAACTCTTTAATGCATTCATTGAACATGTGCATAGTTGTAAAGTCACTAAAATCTTGTCATATTAAAAAAAAACAATAATAACTATACACCTAATTAGCTAATTCCCAGACAGGAATAAGCATGTTACAAGGAGAAAAAAAAACCCATCGAGGGTGCAGTCCCTTAGCGAAAATCCTGCCTCTATCACTGGGTGCGGTGGTATAGTTTGGATAAAATTAGAGAACATTTTGGTAGGAAGTACTTTACATGAGTTCACAATTTACCCCGAATTAGTTGAGCCAGTGAATTTCGAATATGTCAAACAAAAAAGAGGAGCAATTGGTGGACTAGACATTTTGTGCAGTTCTTGGAGAATAAGTAAGAGGCTTTGCTATATACAAAGGCTTATTATAATTTCCAGCAAAAACTACCACAATTTTAGGCTCAGGATCTAGGATATTTATTTGATGTCTTTTCTTAATTTCCTCATCAGTCTCAACCAAATGCTCTGTTGAAGCAGAGTTTTGGCCACAGAAAATGAGAAAAATTAATGCAAAAGCAATGGTAGCGACAATGACTGCTAGACCAAAATAAATGTATGGAATTGGTGAGTTCCATTGCCAAAATTCAGCTGAAGTGCCTGTTGAATTCATTTTTTGCTTCCTACTTTGTATCTTAGTTGCCTTTTTAAAAAGTATTTTTGCTTGTGTTCTGCATGAAATCAGCTAAGTGACTGGCTTTTTATAGACACTAGAAGAATTAACTAATTGTGGATACTGCACATATTTGGATGATATGATTCTACCTGATATATATATTCCCTCAATCTCACATAAGATTTAACTTGGCCCATCGAACATTTAAGTTTATAATTATTAATATCAAGTTGAAAAATACTTCTTTTGGAAATATGAAAGGGCAGATATGTTATTGGGAAGCTATGTTGCCCCGAGTATCCAAAAATACTGCCGCACCTGTGTGATGTGTCGGATTCTCAAAAAATACACTTTGAAGAATCCAATACGAACCTGTCTGAATCCAAATAACATAGTTGGGAAGTTACATTTGCGGCTCAAATGATTATGTTGTCAATCTTCAAGCTAGTTAGTCGTTCTTGACTTTAATTGGTTAAAATATTTTTTCTAGAAAAACAAGTTCCTTAAAAAAATAGGAAAATGACTACCTAGTGAAAGTATGGAAAAATAGTTTCATAAGTGACATTCCGAGCTCACCGTCTTAATTCTCACAACTCCAAATGCTCCCAATCCCCATTATGGTTCCCTTAAATCAGTCCCTCTCATAACTCCTTCATTCAATATTTGTCATGCTAAGAATAGGGGTTTTGGAAGAATACAGGCTTCACTTCGGGGTTGTCAGGTGTCGAACTTGATATTCAAGATGCTTTCTCAACACAGAAACTCATGGTTGGAAACAATAGTTATGGTTTGTTTTGTACTCCGTATTCCATTTCCATAGTATTTTTCTAAATTATATATTGCTCTTTAGACTATCTTTTGCTTACTTAGCGGTCAAATACAGAAAATAAATTTTAAAAATCACTTATTTTCCTAGAGGCCACGAATGAAAATTCTGGATCCACTACGACTTAGAAAACATTTTTTGTTCATAACAAATACGAAGTTAACGGATTATGTTCCTATTCTCCAACATAGCTATAGGGAAAACGAAGCATCACCTAAAAAGGGAAGGAAATATTCCATTATATGGAAACAAAAGGATGAATCTTGTATGACTTTTGGTTAGGCCTCTGGTCATTAACATGTAAATTATGGTGCCTAATATTCTCTTGCCCTTTAATTTATTCTCTTTATTGCCTACTTTAATCTAATCAAATACTGTACTTATGTTGTTGCCTTCATACTTTTGTTGAACTTATCCATTAGAATGTGTATTTAAATTCCAATTAACAGTATGCTCACAAATGAGGAATAGAATCCCTAATTTAAAATCTCATTTATAAAGCAAAGTAAATAGACTTTGCTCTGAAAAGAAAAAGGTTAAGGAGCTAAATGGATAATAGAATCTGCTACTAATTAACTTACTTTCACATTAATTATGTACCAGTAATGATCAGATTAGAATTATAAATTGCAATAAGAATCAAAGACAAATGATTGATGGCAAGTGATTTTAGTGCCTATAGAGAAATCTCAATAGTTCAATTTTCCACATGTTAGGATGAAACATTTACTATCGTGCCAAAAGGTCTAGCTGATAGCAAATACACTTTATTTCTTAGCTAAATTCACCAAACAAGCTCAAATTCGAGCATAACCCCGACCTGGATACAGGATACACCAGCCCCCTCATGGACCTTGCCATAGGCAGAATATTGGTGTTACCCATCACCACGTTAAAATCCCCTCCCCCATTTTCAAAAAAATAAAGAACATTTTAGTTGCCAATTGTTGATTTATTATCTAAAAAAAGTACTAGAGGGTTAATACTAATTCAAAGTTCGAGAACTATAATAACAATAACGCCTTAATTCCAAGCTAGTTAGGATTGAATATATGAATTCTCACGATACATGTCGCTCCATATTCAATATTATCTAGATTTACGCTAAATGCA